GATGATGTTGCCTGAAACCTAGACAGTGAGATCGGAAGAGAAGAGTGACATCTGGCAAAGCGCATAACAGAAAACTTAGTATGGTGAAAAAAAGTCAGTATCTGTCTGGGTTATGTAATAAAAAGATGTTAAAAGTAAATCAAGATATGTGATAAAATTAAGCATCTAAACAGAATGGATGGAGACATTTATAAGGAAGAATAGAATTTCCAGAGCGATTCCTATTATTTGAATAATAAGAAAAGGTAATTTAAACTAACAGACATTGGCAATGTTTTTACAGAAGGGCAACATGAAGAATGACAGTAAAAATGAAGTTAAAACACAAAATCCCCTCAAGAAAGGAAAAATAATGGCTACAAATTTGGATTTTTTGAGATATATATGATTTTGAAGCAGTCAGATATGGTAATGATTCCACTGATCAAAAGACATTCATTACAGTGACTTGATAGCTAGGTGTCACTGACGGGACAAGTCTTGAAACAAAATTGTGTTAGATTTCACAATCATCTGTATGAAAGGCTGCCATGGCAAAAAGAAGGTACAAAAACTAGGTCCTGTGTTGATTTTTCCTACTCCTAAAATATTGAGGATATACAGGTACTGTATAAGAATCTGAGCTTCATTTGGTGGCTAAAGTAACACATCAACCATAAACTGGAAGCTAGTTCAACAGCTGGTGTGTGTGTGTGTGTGTGTGTGTGCATGCATCTTCATAATCTTTCTTTGTCAAGCAAGTATATTCAACATTAGTCATCCCTACATATTTATATATCAGTTATAAAGAAAGAAACATTCAGGAAGGGAGAATATTTAGATATCTCTTCACTACGTCCTTAGGCACTGCCTATTTCATGCAGTCCCAGGATGCCCTGAAGGTGAATTGCTTCCTGATCTGGTCCCCTGGGTCACACATAGACCTTGTCAACTGATTATCTGAGACATGCTGGCAAATAAAATTTTAAAAAGTATTCTGTTAAACTTTTTTTCCACAGTATGCTCTAGAAATTTACTATCCAGTGTCCATCATTATTGGAAAAGTCTTCCTTTTTACTAAATTCCTTATGAGGAAGTCTAAATTTATCGCTTCTTTATTCTCAGTTGCAACAAATATGGGCTGTTAGAAATCTGTGTGGAGGAAATGTGGAAAGTGCTCCTGTGAGTCACAGTTCCGCTTTCTCTTCTAACAGAGAAACAATCCTTACTACTTTAACCCTTTCCAACAACCTGTTAATTTATTTGCTTGTTCCACTTAATACCGAGGAAATGCTATTTCTCTCCTGCCTCTCTCCAAATACCCTCTGGTTCTCTATCATTGGCAACACTGTGGGTCTGGCCCATCAAAGGTGAATGAGTCATGCCTTTGGGGGTCCCAGGTGGTAGCATGCAAGGAAATTCATATACAAGGTCAGCCATGGAACTGAGACCCACAGCAATTACAAAGAATAAAAAGTAACCATTTACACCAGCAACTCCCCTGCATCATCTTGAACAGTCCAGGTTTAGAAGGATTCAGGCATAGCATCCAAGTTGGGGAATCACCACAAACTGGCTGTTGGCTCTATGCAATGGGACTGAGGCCGAGTGATCTTTGTCCTTTCATGTCTTTGTGCTCGCAGCTAGTCTTTATGGTGGAGTGATTAAGAGGCAGGAGTAGATCAAAAAATTTGGACACTGGATCCTTGGTAAGGAGATGGATAGCCTCAAACATTTTCTCATGGAAGCCTTGGTTAGCTCTTGTATAAAATGAAAGTCATAAACCAGGCCTGGGGGTGCATACGTATAACCCCAGAACCCGGGATTCGAGACCAGCCTGGGTTACATAGTGAGTTCCAGGTCAGTTTCGACTACATATTGAAATCCTGTCTCAAAAAAAAGTGATGGAATTCATGTCAAAGACTTCTAATTATTAAATCACATGTGATAATAACTGTGAATTTTCCAGTGCTTAGGAAAAAAAATGCAGGGAATACTCTCCATGTCTCTTGATAATTATAGAATCTAAAACCAAACGTAAGGCTTTAGCACTGACCCAAGATCTTTAGAGTCCTTTATTTCCAAGGTTCATATTTATAAAAAACAAGCTTGTGATGATTTCTGTAACTGCAGTGCTTTATTCTCCATTCATAGTCACCTTGTGCCAGGCTGCTCCTCAATTTTATTTTTCTGCCACACTTACAGAAAGTTCTCTGTGGAGGGCTTTTGGCATGCCATTTAAAAAATGCATTTAAAGTCTACATTTGTCTATAGTGAGTCTTTTTTTTTTGAAGCAAAACATTTGTAGGTACATTTTAGATATATTTAACAATAATACTCATCATAGGAAATTTGCAGTTGTACATGATATATCCTGTCTCTTCAGATTGCTTGAAGACTTCACGTACACATGCTCATTGTGTTCATGTTAAAAGTTTATGAAATTATCTACTTTTTTTGATTCTCCAACTTGAGTTCTTTCCAATGTGGAGAAAAAAGTTAAGAGAAAGCAATATAGAAGGGGCATAAAAATATAACAAGAGATCATTATTTTTGCAAAATCCTGATTTTTTTCATTGCTGTTTCCCCGTACAGGGGAAGGTGCACAGAGAAAAACCCGTCATACCTGTTCACTGTCCCCACTTCTGTAGATCTGATAAATAATCAAAACCAGGAAGGTTGTATTTAGCTAGAAGGCCATAAAAAGTACCACACACACACACACACACACACACACACACACACACATCTACTAAACCTATATAAACTTTTTCATGATAATACTCAGTGTTAGCATGAGTTCATGCCATAGTATAAACAGTTGTAACTTTTTGGTTAAAAATTATAATATCAATGTAATAAATTTTTAACATTATGTTATGTTTATACACTTTAACCTAGAATAATTTCATTCCTGTATTTGGGACGCAATAGTGGTATTTAGTTGTTGCTTAGATTTCCTGAGTGGGAGAGCCTGAGGTGGGAATTTAGAGACGTTTTCCAGAATCGCATCCTTGAATGACAATATTTAGAGATTGAATGAAGCAGGAAAATCTGTCAGATGTACTGAGGAGTGGTAACAAAGTAGTGAGGAAACTGGGAGAGGGCTGGGTCTTAGACACCAAGGAAATAAACTTTCAAGGAGGATGCGAGTGGATGCAACTAAGCGATTAGAGAAAATGCAGACAGAACAGATCATGGCATGTGGCAACAGGGAGGTTAATAGTGACCTTGAAAATTGAAGATTTTGGCTACAGAAGATTCTGATATGATGACTAAACATGTGTTCAAACTCTAAGATTATACGTTAAATGTATACTTTTTTGCACATTAAATAGGTAACTCAATTTAAAAAATGCAAAATAGAGATAATGGGAAATAAGCACACACATGGATGTAGGCAATTGTTATTGCTGAGAACAAGAGTAGTGAATGAAATAGTAACACAAATGGGACAGTAAGTTCAGAGTTTCTAAAAAAAATTGACACCACTATGAATGATAAGTTGCTTATGCAAGAGAGAAGGAACAATTCCAGGAAATTATCCCAGAATAGAAACAAAAGTGATGGGATCTATGTCCTTGAGCAAGGGTTGGCTCTATCCTTAAGCCTTTCAAATTTGCAATAAGGAGGATGCCAGAGAATTTACAAATTTAGGTATTGCAGTGAGTTAGTTTTTGCGTCTTTCTGTGTTCTTACTGAAACAGGAAATGAGAATCCCAGTTGAGGTAAACCCAGTCGTTTGAAGATTTGAAAAGAGGAGAGTAGACGTGAAATGATCATGTTAGAAACTAAGAAAGTTTATTTACAGGGGTGATTGAGTATAATTTCCTTGTAGTATTGACTATGCCCTTTGGTACATGAATTTTAATAAAACCAGTCAACATGGTTGTGAGTTTATTTCAGCCATGATTAGGTGCTGAGGTTTAGACATGGAGTGAGTGGCTGGTTGGGTTTAACTAGCATTAGGGTTTTGTCAAGAGAACATAAGAGAATTAAAGCATTTGCAAGGGAATGATTATGCAGATAGGCTATAAGGCTAAGCGAGAAATAAGAAGGATGGAAGAAACATAGGGAGGTGGTTAATTGATTTTAAATTTTTATGAGGTTTAAGAAATTATGTGGTAGTGTTAATAGAATATGTAAACTAGAGTGATAACAGAAGCCTACAGAGATTGGGGTGGCTTACATCCACAGTTAGAGGTATTAGAAATAGCTGTCAAAAGTACGACTGGGTAAAAAGGCGGTCTGCAGGACCCCCGGAGGAAAGAGGTTGAGGAACTGAACCATGAGGGTATAGTGTGGAGAGCCTCATTCACGTGGGTACCAACAGTCTTGGAAGAAGGTAAGGATAAAGAAGCGGTTAAGGTGAGGGCTACAGTTGTCAATGAAACAGTGGTGTCAAAATAGTTTTCATTGATTTCTATAAATCCTTCTATTTCTGAAATGTATTTTATAATAAGAATGACCTAACACAAAAATCAAACCACAAAACACAAGCACCCATCCCTCTGTCGTTTTGGCAGAGAATGGTAGGTTTGGATGCGCTTTGGGAGCTGTTTCTGGGCTGCTCATTTCTTGCCTGGCCAGCTTGCTTGCTTTGCACACCCGGTGGTCATGGAGGAGTGTCTGGGCTCTGAACGCCATGAGTGTCTGCCACTGAACCAGCTGACACCAGCAGACCTCCCTACCCCGCTGTTCTGAGCTCCCCACGTGGTGAAAATCTGGGACAAAGATTCATCATAGTTGTAAATAGGACAGCACCCCACGCCCAAAACTTGCCTCACTGCGGATGCCTCAGAGCGGATAGTTTCTCAAGACTTTCGTAGAGTGCATTGTCTGAGTATGTATGATCACTTTTGAATCCACCCAGAGCTTCCCCCAGTCCCGGTTATATTTGCAAATTATTTAGCAAGTTTGTCCTCCGTGTTTCCTGCAATTAAGGAATAATACTTATGACAGTTTCTAAGTGCCATTCCTGGTACAGTAACCTTGAACATCTGCTGCTTGTTTCCGGACAGGGAATTACGGGGAGAGCGGAATGGACGCTTTCAAAGAGTTGGCTGCTCAGGAAGGCCTCTGCATCGCCCACTCCGACAAAATCTACAGCAACGCCGGGGAGAAGAGCTTCGACCGCCTGCTGCGCAAGCTCCGGGAGCGGCTTCCCAAGGCCAGGGTGGTGGTGTGCTTCTGCGAGGGCATGACGGTGCGCGGTCTCCTGAGCGCCATGCGGCGCCTCGGTGTGGTGGGAGAGTTCTCGCTCATTGGCAGGTAAGTCTCCCTCTTGCCCTCTCCTCCCCCCTGCCTCCTCTCTCCCCCTCCCTCTGCCCCTCTTTCTTACACATATATGGATGCTTTATATGAAACCAGATTTTTATCTCCAAAGTGGTCAAGACGCTCAGTGCTGAGCCCGGCATTGGTTCTGGGTCTTACAGAGTGAGGGGAGATTAGCGGCTTCCTGAGAGAAAGCAGAAAGCAAAGAGCAGCACCATTAACAACAAAGCCCAATAAGATTTTCGGGGAGGGGAGGGAGATCAGAAGTTGTTTGCTAGAAGGCATCTCATCCCCGAGAATTAGTCTTTGCGTTTACTTCCCCCACCTCGCCAAGTAAATGCTCGCGTCCTCCTACTTCCCCAGTATAGAAACCTTACTGGACATTGGAGGAAGGAGGGCAGTAGTGAAAATGGCAAATCTATATTAAGATTTGACATTGAACTAGCTGACCAAACGCAACAGACCAAACACTTTGGAATTTGCTGATACAATCTCGTGACACACTCGCGGGCAGGCTAACTGTGAAGATTTCATCATGTGGTGGGTTCCCTAGTCCGGCTCTCTTTCTAGATTATATAGGCTCATACAGGAGAAGCTTTTCAGTATCACTGTGTTTTTCATGAGGTTTTTGACCTAAGAGGCGTCTTGCATACTTTGCCGCCTTCTACTACTGCAAAGAAGAACCTGCTCAATTTTCCCAAGGAGCCACTGTTTGCTTACAGGCGAGCTCTACTCACCTCCACTCGCACACTCATCTTCCAGTTCCCAGTGCCCCCGTTTCTCCTTCACAGCTGGAGTCCAGCATGTTGCACCCCTGAAGAGCCTCCACGGTGGACCCTCTTCTCTCGGAAGTTGGGTAGTCATGGTCCCATCCTCCGTGGACTTTCTCTTCTTTCCTGTGCTTGTAGTAAGGGCTGTGGTGGCAGTAGGACTAACTTCATCATCACCTGTAGTTAGAGGCATACAACACTTCAAAGACTGTTGAGAAGAAAGTAGGAGAGAAATACAAATGCACACAAACACCAGAGAAGATGCTCCTTAAGAATGAGGAGGTACGGCAGCAAGGTCAACCTATAATTCAAGATTAAGAAAATTCTTGAACTTGGGTATGATCAATACGGGGGTAGCCAGAGTCATTTTGGCTTCTACATGATACAGTTGTATGAAGCCACTAATGTGTTCAGAAGGAAGATCATGTAAGAAGGAGTATTAAAAGAGGGAATGATATTTCTTTAAGGAGTGGAAAGGATATAAGCAGCATTGTTAAAGTGTTACTTGGAATACTGCTCTTAATATATGTGCTAGGACAGGTGGTGCACAGATATTCTATCCTTCTGATTGCTTTTGTAAAGTGACTGCTTTTATGAAGGTTGCCTGCTTAAAAAAATCTTATGTTTATCATTTTCAAAACAACAACACTCTATTTTGCAGAATTTATCCTCTTTAAAACCCTCTGAGCTGTATACCTTAGTTCTGGAGGCTATGAACAGATGTGATAAATTTGTGAGCATCAGTGTATATAGATTGCTTAATTATGAAATATAATTATACAAAATGCTGACAAGAGTAATTGGAGTGTAAAGAAATTATTCCAATATCATTATTTAAAAAGCAGGCAAAGATGATATACATCCCCCGGCTCTTTCTTACCTACTAATACGAGGTAACGGAACTCACAGCTGCTTCTGAGTCTCATATGTGCTTATGATGAAGAGGTTGGCCACATATGATGTCTATTTTCTAAAGTCCTGGGTACTGTGTGGAGCACTATGAACACGTGGTAGGGCACTGTCGTCACAGCGAACACTTTAGCTTCCAAGAACAGAGCTCCCTGTACTCGTGGTCACTGGCACTGAGGCAGGAAATCCTTACATACCAAAGCTGTACCATGCTTTGTGCCAAGGTAAGAGATGCTCTCTGCCTTTCTGAGCTGCTTTCCATGAGGGTCTATTAAAGGGTGCTGGCCTTTACCTTAATTAACCTTAATTTACTTTTAGTTTTCTCTTCTAGAAATTTATTTCATTGTTCAGATTCACTTTGGGAAAATTAGCTGAAGCATCTCTATCACATTAGAAAATTATTTTACATTTCTACTACTGTTGATTTCTCTGATCTTTTTTATTTAGTCTCTAGTATTTTAAGTGATGATTCAGTAAAGGGAACATTTAGCCTCTCTCTCTGTAAAATAGGAACTTACGTTTAGCTGCTTTCAGGTTATATTTGCTAATCATAAAATTCTAGCTTGCCCAGGAAATGATAGCTCATTCTCTATAGCTGACCCTTGTGGGGACTTCAGCCTCCCAAAGACATGCTCTTCTTTGAGCATGAGGTGCCTTCTGGCTTTATTCCTATGCCTGGTGTTGGCATCCTAGACCTCTGCTCTAATGTTCGCATCACGGGAACGCCTCACAGTAAGTTCGCATTCTCTCTCATTAGGGATCTCTGATTAAACATATGGTACTAGGTATACAATATTTATTCCTCTGCTTGCTAGTTCTTTGTATTGGATTATGACTACATCTAATTTCTCCACTATCCAAAATAAACCTCTGGTAAAGATAATGAGGTCAATAACTTTCTGTTTCATCTCTCTTCCTATGTACCCTGGCCAATCGAGTTGTCAGTATATGGTTCTTCCATTTCAAATGCTTGTTCTTTGTTGGTATATTCTGGTTTATTTGTCATCTCTCCCGTTCTGCGATTCCTTTCCACTAGAATACCCATTTGTTACTACAGAAAACACCACCCCCCATCCTTAATCTAAAACTTCATCAAAGAAGACACAAACACCACGCATTTTTGGTTGAAAACCCAACAATCACATTAAGTGTACATTTGAAAAATAGTTGGAGTGGAGTAATTGCTTTCTATGGAAAGAAAGATAATGTTTCATTTTAAAGCAAATGAAACATATGATATCTATACTATTGCAATATGATATACAATGGGATTATGTTTCCATACAATTTGTTTTTATTAAAAAGAAGTTATTCTAGGTTTCAGTTTTCCATTATGGAAAAAAATAGGGGGAAAACCTTTTTGGCTTTCAGACAAAATTGCAGAGGATGAATGTTTTAAGGTAAATGTGAATTTTCAGTGAAGCCTGACATCTCCAAATATAGGTCATCATCAGACATCCAGCCAGGGACGTCAGTGCATTTTCTGATGTGTAGTGGTCAGGATGTACAGACACATAATCTGGTCTTCTTTTGGCTGGAAGGGAAGAAAATAATCACATATCTGTTGATGGCCACTCTTTACCTTGAACTACTCCTGTTCTAAAGGCAGATTAATGAAAATCTTGGGAATGATTACTCTGCTAGGAAAAGACTAAGAAATGTGCAGGAGGGTTGAAGACAGGGTTTAGTGTAGAGTACGTTGGAAAATCAACTTTCTTTGTAAGGTATTGAGAGGTATTTTGAACATAGATGTAAGATACAGAAATATTCAAGACTTCCATGATTGGAGTGACTAATATGCATTATAATGGATAATTGGTCCCATGTTTCACATAGCAGACACAGAAAACTGAAAAAACTCAATTTTCATGGTCTCTACTTGCCTTTAATATATCAAATATATTGGAGAAAAGGGTTTGATTATCTTCTGAATCTACAAGGCAGTGATCAATTTGAGTGTATTAACAAGAAATGTCATTGCGATTCAGGCCATTTTGCCTATGAGGCTGAAAATGTATTGTAATATATTTCCCTTTTTCTCCTTTTTTCTTTTCTTTTCTTTTTTTTTTTTTTTTACTGGGGATCAAACTCATGGTCTTGCACTTGCGAGGCAGGCAGTGGAACCACTGAGCTAAGTCCTGTTGGATCAACTTCTTTTAAAACTTCTAAGAGTTAGCTTCAGAGCCACTACTCAGTGATGCTTAGTTCAATGTTTTGTACTCAGGCAACATTCATTAGAACTGACTTGCTTTTAGCATATTTGAAAGAGAAGACAAAATGAAAATTTAATTCAATGGCATGTCATTCCTTCACTTTAGCTCTGTTTTTAATTTGTTTTGAAATTTACTTCTGTTCAGAATTTTTGTTTTAAAGCACAGATACATCTGAGAGTAGCAATAAATACTAGTAATAGTAATAAGAAACACTATTGGTGACTTTGCTTGTTTGCTGTACTTCTGCTGACCAAACTGGTCTACAGACCTGCTCCCTGAAGATGTGCCCAAGTTCCAGTTTTCAGGCTAATTGAGATGTGAAAGAGGAGGCATTTAATCAATCATATCACAGGCAGCTCCGAGTTGCAGTTGCTCAGGGCTGACTCCTGAATGAAGATAGTGCTTTCTTGCTAATTATCAGAACTGTGATCTAGTGACCGAGCAGCTCCTAAAATTAGTCCCTTTCTGCAGCTGCATATCTGTTCATGTATCCTAAATTTAGGGAGGTTTTCAAAAATACATGCTTCTTGGACTCCACCTCCTTCATGCTAACGCAGAATTCCTGGAGAGGGACTGAACAATTTACATGTACTTCTCAATTCACCTTTACTGGAATTCACTAGCTTTAAGAGTTTAGTTGAAGTCTGTCAACTCCCTACAGTGCTGTAAGCACCTTGGTGATCTTAATAGAGGACATTTGCCTCACTGCACAACGTTCTCCATGCCTCTCTGCAGCCTTTCCTCTCTATGCCGGGAAAGAGGAAACCAGCGATCATCTACTTCCATCATCACACTTTCACACAGAGGGAATCATCTAGAATGCAGTCTTTCCTGCCTGAGTTTTTCAGTTGACAAACTTTTGAGATTCACCCAGGCGTTTGCATGTATTCCTAGTTTCCTCGTTATTGTTGAGTAATATTAGGTGTGACAGATGGACCCAGTTTTCTTATCTGGGCACAACTTGGTGGATGTTTAGATCATTCCCGGACTGTTGACCATCCTGAATGATGCTACTACTATGCTCGGTCGTGTGCAAAGCTTGTGTGGATTTTACGTGTTCCGTTCTCTTGGGACAAATCTAGAGTTGAGAATATGGGTCATAAAT